AGAAGCGCCTTGCAGGGCCGCCACTCTGGGCCGAGCCCTTGGAGCACGATGTTCACGAAGATCTCTTCAGAGATCGAGCTCCCCAATTTCGCGATTTGATCGCGTAGACTCCGACAGCGATTCAGGTAACTATTGGCTTTCTCTCCTGGTGCCATCCTTGTTTCCAGTAACTGCTGGAGGAGGCGGCTCGACGACACTGAGTCCTTGGGTTGGTATACGCCATTGAGGTGGCGCCAGGCGTTGAGGGCTGGAGCAGGGGAGGTCTTGTATGAGCAAATGCTCAATTGCTCCGTCGGCGACATGTTCCGCAGAAGAACCCCATACGCCATCAGGGACTCGTTGTAGTACTTGGGTTTTGCGTCGTCATTTTCTTCCGTAGGCCCGAGTAGCTTCCGTCGAAATAATGATAAATCTGCGCGTTTTGCAGTAGCAGCTCCAGCTCAAAGCTCCAGGTATAGAAGTCTCTGCCGTCAAAGCACGCACTTGTCTTAGGGGTTGAGCTGTTCGCATCGAGAGAGAAGCCTTGTGGGCCGGAGTTCTGGCCATTTGAGGCCGGTTGAGTGGGTTGGGAAGAGGTTCCCGCATCGCCATTCCGCAATGTCTGGAGCCCTTGCTCCAGGCTTGTGAGTCGCTGAAGCAGTTGTGCGAGGACGGAGGAAGGAATCGTCGTCGTTTCCTCGTTTGTCGCAGCCGGGTTGGGCTGCGCTTCAGCCGTCAGATTCGTCTGACCTCCAGATCCTCCGGCCATCTTTACACGTGATCGTGTGCCGGACGCCACTTTCCGAATGTCGCAGATTTCGGAGATGGCGGTGCGAAGGATTCCTGAGTCGCTCTCATACCATGTCAAAATCAGGAAGTGATAGTAACCAGGATCACCTCAGGAAGGTTTGCACAATTCTAGTCCAGTGGTGGTGGGCCCTTGACCACAATAGCAGAGTGAATGTAAATGCTTGAGATAATAAAAGCGTGCAGTACAGGGAATATAAATATGAGTACAGGGGAATTCGAAACGACCTAACTAGCCATGTACTCTAAGGGGTACATTCCCTTATTGCAGCGAAATCCAATCGTGCGACTCCGAGTGGTTACGTAACTGTTCGGGCAGAATCATCGCCACTGCTGTTGCCTGATGCTGTCTGCCCGACAGTCCAGATGCTCCTCGTAACCGTCTGTCCCTTCGCCTTTCTTCTGCCTTTTCGTCTTCACTCTTGATAGTGCGTGCTTCGGCTTTGCTACTGTGAGGAGTGCGCAACAGTGTTTTACATTAACCACTATTCGTAGCACACCTTACCTAGCCTAGGAGGTGAGTCAACATACACATATGCATTGGCATGCCTATTCTTTAGGCTATTTTGGGTTGCACTATGGACGGTACGGGTTTGCTAGATACAACCCCTCTGTATGCCTTCATTCATCATTCATTCTGTACTTGACAGAGGCGTGCCTAGCAGGTGGCTAGTCTAGCAAGAGATTGTAGGAACATGCTCTAATGAATGTGCGGGTTTTCACAAAAACTGCCACACACATCTCAATGGGTTCTGAGATGGTCACAGCAGGCTGTGATGTGGCTTCTCATGTCTCTGTAACGAGCACACCTGCAGCAACAGCATTGCCTTGCTCGCTGTGTGAGCTTTGTTGGTGCGGCGTGACATTGGCTCAAATCCACGCCACCGTGGCAGCGATGGCATGCTGGTCGCAGTAGATCCTGTGAAATCCACATTGGGGAGGCACGGCAGCACGGTGAGCTGCATGGACGGCTGGCCTGACCTGCCTGCCCGGCATGGTGCACCACCCATGCACTGGTGGACGGAGTAGAGCAAGGAAGGAAAGAGGGGAACTGGGGAGAGCAGGTGAGGGCAGTAGAGAGCAGGCACAAAAACGAGAGAGGGTGGAAGAAGCAGAGAGCATGCGAGGGTGGGATGAGAGAGAGTCGTACTCCAGTGTTGCCCAATACCCCTTTAGCGCCCTCTCCTCCTCCGCCCTCTCCTTGCACTGCTCTCACCTCACCAACTTCTCACGCGCCCCCGCACTGCCCCCTCCTCCTCTGCCCTCTCCTCCTCCGCCCTCTACTTGCGCTGCTCTCACCTCACCAACTTCTCACACGCCCTCGCACTACCCCCTCCTCCTCTGCCCTCTCATCCTCCGCCCTCTCCTTGCGCTGCTCTCACCTCACCAACTTCTCACACGCCCCCGCACTGCCCCCTCCTCCTCCAACACCACCCAGCCCCCCTTCGCTCTCTGCCCCAAACCTCCCCTCCACATCCGCGTGCCCCTCCCCACCTACGTGCCCCTCCCCACCTGTCGGCCCATCAAAGTCTCGCAGCACCATCCGCACCAGCTCCTCATGGGGAGGCAAGAATCGATTGAGCAAGTGCACCCGAGTACAGCTGCTGACACGGGCGAGCAGAGAGGCAGGGACGCAGTTCAAGTAAGAGAAAACTCTAAGGCAGCGGCAATCACCAGGTAGTTTCACACACTAGGGGGGGAAATTCCCCTCACCAGGGAGGCAATTCCTCTCACCAGGGAGGCAATTTCTCTCACCAAGGAGGCAATTCCTCTCACCAGGGAGGCAATTCCTCTAAACCAGAGAGGGGGACAATTCGTCTCACCAGAGGGGTGTGGGCGGGCAGCCAGTGGAAGAGTGGCTGGGAGCGGAACTAGGTGATCTGGCGCTTGGAGTAGCGCCGTGACGCCTGCTAGAACTTCACGGTGAACGCCACCAGCGCCGCCTGCAGCGCCCGCTACTCCTCCACCTGCTGCTCTTCCACCTGCTGCTCTTGCTGCCCTCGCTCCTCATTGGTCCCCGCTTACTCCATGAGGCGCTGGCAGTGCAGCAGGAAGGACATGGCCTGGCGGTAGCCGATGACGCGTGTGGGCGACGAACAGTCGGGCTGCAGCCCTGCTCGCAGCAGCGCCAGGCTCTCCTCCAGCAGCCCACTTGCCCGCCACACAGGCGGAGAGAGCACGAGTGAGGGCGCGGGGCGATGGGGCATGCAGAGGAAGGCAAGAGATGGAGGCATGAGGACGAAGGGGTGCCGTGGGGTTGAGAAAGGCGCGTGGCATTGTGTGGTGTAGGCGAAGGCAATGGTGAGAGGAAGGTGCAGCGGTCTGGAGTCACCAAGTACAAGCATTTGTTTGGTAGAATCTCAACGGCCGTAAGCCCTTCCACCTAGAAGCATCGTGGCTCGCCTCACCTTTCACCGGCTCTTCGCAGCGTCGATATATTTGGCGGTACAGTGGGAGGCGAGGGGCGTCCAGGAAAAAGCAGTAGAAGGCGAATGCTGGCACCGAGGCCCCAGCAGCAGCAGCAGCGGCAGCAGCAGCAGGAGGGGAGGGGAGATGCATTTGGCCTGGTGGGATGGCACGGTGATCTCTTATCGCGGCCGACCTGCGGCCTGAGGGAGGGAGACAGGCAGAGGCTTACAGAGGCGCTGATGAAAAGGGCGTGATGTGGAAAGGACGGAAAATTGTCATCAAGGTGAAGAGGAGTGAAAAAGAGGTAAAGAGGGAAGGAGGGGATGGTTGTGCGGGCGATTTTGAGTGGCTCACTGTCCCTGGCCTGCTGGATGCGGGACACTCCTCCACCATTATCCTTCCACCACTCTTGCCCCTCTACACACACACAGTGCCTCCTACATGCACACATACCCTTAGAATCTCAAACGCTCTGGTCAGCCGGTACCAGTCATTCCGTGCCAACTGGCCTGCTGTGAGTGGGTCGCCCGTAGCAGCAAGAGCAGCGAGAGCAGCGTCCCAGTCGCCGTCCTCCGCATATCACGCGGCTGCCTGTTCGCCTCGCCCCCCCCTGCTCCCTCTCCTCTCCCCCCTATCCCTGCTTCGGCCTGCCCCCCCCCCCCCCCCCCCCCATCTCCTCCTTCATCCCTCCCATAACCATGTCAACCCCCCCACACCCACACCCACAACCACACCCACACCCACACGCGCACCATCGTTGCCCTCCTCGCTCCTCAACGCTTTCTCCTCACTGAGTCGCCTACTAACGCCTGTCCCTCCATCACTCCCTCTTCTGCATCCCCCTCACGTCCACCTGCTGCCTCGTCTACCCCACCACCCGCCACTATGCTCCGCTCATCCCCCCTGGCAGCCCTGGCCTGCCGGGCGCGCATGACAGTGGCGTGGATCTTGGCAGCCATGGCGCGCTCAAGCGTGGGGCACGAGGGGCACGAGGGGGGCGTGGCGAGGAGGCCGCACAGCAGCCATGCGAGGTAGAGTCCCGTGCCGCCCACCGCCATGGGCACGCCCCCCCCCTGCAGCACGCCCTCCACCGCTGCACGCGCCGCCTCGTAGAATCGTCTCCCGTGAACTCTGGGGGTGCCGGAGGGGGGGGGGGGGTGGGGGCAGGGTCGGCGATGAGAGGGCATGCCTTTGTTGACATGCTGCTGCTCATGGGCATGCCCCCCCTATTCCGCGTTGCTCCTGAGCGAGGGAGAGCTGGTGCAACCTGTCCTGGACAAGACGCGCGACCTCTACGCGAAGTTGGCGACCGCGGGGAATCACCTACCCGGAGCAGACCAAGTGCCTGAAGATGCTCTCACTGCTGCCTGAATCATGGCTTCAATTCACGAGTGGATTGAGCCTGCCGCAGAACCAGAGCTCGTGGACACTCGAGTGGGTGCGGACAAAGATTCTGAAGAGAGGACTTCCGTCGCCGCCAACTGAGGGGTGGAGACGACGGCAGCAGCGGCTACGGGATGCAAGGAAGCCAACGTGGCAGAGGACGTGGCTTCGGTGGTGCTGGACGCGGTGCGAAGAAAGACGACAACTCCAACGACCAACAAGGAGGTACTCGTTGGGGTCGCGATGCGAAATCTGGACGTGGGAGCAAGTCGAGTGCTTGTGGCAAAATGAGAGGGAGTTGCTGGTATTGTGAGAAGGAGGGGCACCCCTGGTTTTTGTGCTATAAGAAACCCGATGGATGGACCCACCAGAATCGTCACCAGAATGGCGACGCGCGGAGGAAATAGAAAAGCGGCGCGAGCATGGTCGCCGATTCGTCTGACAACAACCCGAGAAGCAACGGCGGTGCGGAAAAGAAGAAGGAGCGCACCGCGGGCCAGTTCTTCCATATTGGAGTGCAGGGGGAGCAAGGAGACGCCTCTGCCAAGGTTGGAGCAGAGCTGCACCCCCTGGACTATTGGGTGTTGAACATAGGCGTTGCTTGGACGATGACGCCGCGCAAGGACGTGCTGGACGACATACGCGCTGTACCGATCAAACGAGGTGTGTTCTGCCTCTGGACACGATCTAAAGGTGGCTGGTGCGGGACGAGCTGCGTTTAAGGGAGCGGATGGCAAGCCGGTGGTGCTGCACGACGTTCTCCTCGTTCCTGATCTCAAGGCCAACCTCATCTCCCTCCGAAAGCTTGGCAAGGCTAGGGTCAGCACTAGCACGGATGGGGCACGCACTTACAAGGGGCAGCTGGGCAATCAGGTGCTTTGGGATCTGCACGAGAGCAAGGACGCGTACAGATCCATGTGGCAGCTGTCGGCGTTGGCGTGGCAAGGTGGGGGGCAGGCTGGAGAGGGGTCTGCAACCCAGGGGGAGTGCAAGGCTTTTGGAGGGGTTGGTGTGAAAGTATCGGCCAGATCTGGGAAGACGGATTAGGCAACGGCACAACGACGCTTGGGGCATATGGCAATGCCCTGGTTGAAGCAGTTGGAAAAAGATGGAGCCGTTAAGGGTGTGAACCGTAACAGACAGCCACCCGATGATAACTGTGAAATCTGTTTGCTCTCAAAGTTGACCCATTTTGCCTTCCATAGTGTGGCTGGCAGGAGCAAGAAGCCTTTGGAGCTGGTTCACATGGACTTGGTGGGGCCGCTGCCAGTGCAAGGGCACAAGAGGGAGTGGTATTTCCTAGCCATTGTAAATGATTGGAGCAGACTCATGTGGGCGTATCCGCTGAAACAAAAGGACCACGCCGCCTCCACGATACGGGAAGATTGGCTGCCATTCGTGGAGAAGCAAGCGGGATGTGTGGTGAAGCGGATTAGGACAGACCGGGGTGGTGAGTTCCTTGGAGCTGAGATGACGGCCTGGCTCAAGAAGCAGGGCTTCCAGAGGGAGCTGACCACGGCTTACACCCCACAGTCCAACGGTGTAGCAGAACGGGCGAACCGGACTTTGGCCTTTACAACACGGTCGCCAGAAGGTGGCATTTATACAGACGATGGTATAGACGAAGGTACGGGACAGCTTTATGTTGTTTGGACACGCGTGGTGCTTTGACTTGGTTCCAACTTGAGTCTAAAATGCTACCACTTTCTAGCTTGCATCGCAATGTCCCATCCCCTTTGCATAGGAATTGGTTTGTCTTGCTGAACAATGTCTCCATGAACACACCAATCGAGCGACATGTTCCACCTCTGAAGAAAGGTAGAGGGCGAAAGCGAAATGGGAAGCGATCTATAGCATCGTACGTGGACAATGGTGCGGCGGCATTTGGCTTACCTGGTGCGGATGCGTCGCACATGGCTGATGCGGCTGTGCATGGTGGTCATGGTACAAACGAGTCGCACATTGTTGGTGTGACGGCACATGGTGGGCATTACATGAACGCGTCCCTCAGTTGTGCAAACACGCAGTTCGTCGGCGCCACCTCGCTTGCAATGGCAAGCCACGGCCTATCCTCCGCCTTCGCCTCTCCTGTACCTCCACTCACTGTTTCCTCACTCTCCTCTGCCTTTCTCCAGTCCCCTCCCAGCTGCTCACCTCGCCAGCAATGGCAAGCCACGGCCTCCCCTCCTCCTTTGCCTCTCCTGCACCTACACTCGCTGCTTCCTCACTCTCCTCTGCCTTTCTCCAATATCCCTCCCAGTGGTATTTCCTATCCATTGTGGATGATTGGAGCAGACTCATGTGTGCGTATCCGCTGAAACAATAGGACCAATGCCGCCTTCACTATACGGGAAGATTGGCTGCCATTCGTGGAGAAGCAAGCGGAGTGTGTGGTGAAGCGGATTAGGACAGATCGGGTGGTGAGTTCCTTAGAGCTGAGATGACGGCCTGGCTCAAGAAGCAGGGCATCCAGAGGGAGCTGACCACGGCTTATACCCCACAGTCTAACGGTGTTGCAGAATGGGCCAATCAGACAATTCTGGAGACAGCTACGGCGCTGCTCATAGAATCTGGGCTGGGCAACTCGATGTGGCCCCATGCTGTTCGGCACGTTACCGTCGCTAGGAACAGGGTGCTCACCAAGGTTGGGGATGACTAGTGGGTACCGTTGGAGAGGTGGCTTGGGAGGAAGCCGCCGGTAGACATGCCGAGGGTGTTCGGGTTGCGTGGCAGTCGCCCACGTCCCCAAGAAGTATCGAAGTAAGTTGGGGGCGAGTGCAATCTGGTGTGTGCATTTGGGGCTAAGCTGCTGAGAGCAAGGGATGGCTGCTGTGGGAACCATCCAAGGTTGTGCTGTTGACAGCAGGGATGTGAAGTTTGTTGAGGGCATGATGTATGGGAGCTGGGAGAAACAGCCGGAGGCCAGGGTGTCCCAGCAGATGGAGTAGATCGCCGTGCAGCTATACTTGACTCCTAGTGTGTGGGAGGAGGGAGAGGGAGGCAGCTGCAGAGGGTGGTGATGGAGAGAAGGTACAAGAGGCACCTGCTGGTGGAGAAAATGATGTGGATACTGGCGTAGCACTAGTGGAGCTGCTCACCTTGCCTGCAATGGCAGGCCACGGCCTCCCTCTGCCTCCGCCTCTCGTGCACCCGCACTCGCTGCTTCCTCACCCTCCTCTACCTTTCTCCAGTCTCCCTCCTAGCTACTCACCTTGCCAGCAATGGCAGGCCACGGCCTTCCCTCCGCCTCCGCCTCTCCTCCACCTCACTCGTTGCTTCCTCACCCTCCTCCGCCTTTCTCCAGTCTCCCTCCAGCTGCTCATCTCGCCTGCAATGGCAAGCCATGGCCTCCCGTCCCGCCCCCGCCTCTCCTGCACCTGCAGTCGCTGCTTCCCTCGCCCTCCTCCACCTTTCTCTAGTCTCCCTCCTAGCTGCTTACCTCGCCAGCAATGGCAAGCCACGACCTCCCCTCCTCCTCCGCCTCTCCTGCACCCGCACTAGCTGCTTCCTCACCCTCTCCGCCTTTCTCCCATCTCCCTCCCAACTGCTCACCTCGCCTGCTATGGCAAGCCACGCCCCCCCCCCACCCCGCCTCCGCCTCTCCTGCACCTGCACTCGGTTTCTTCCTCACCCTCCTCTGCCTTTCTCCAGACTCCCTCCAGCTGCTGACCTCACCAACAATGGCGAGCCACGGCATCCCCTCCTCTTCCTCTCCTGCACCTGCACTCGCTGCTTCCTCCACCCTCCTCCCCCTTTCTCCAGACTCCCTCCCTGCTGCTCACCTCGCCTGCAATTGGCAGGGCACGACCTCCCCTCCGCCTCTGCCTCTCCTGCACCTGCACTCGCGGCTTCCTCACCCTCCTCCGCCTTTCTCCTGTCTCCCTCCCAGCTGCTCACCTCGCCTGCAATGGCAAGCCACGGCCTCCCCTCTGCCATGGCTCCACCTGCTCTTGCCGGTCACAATTCTTATGTACCTCGTTCGCAGCCAGGCCTGCCACTCCCTTCAGCATCTCCCAGTTCTCATCGCCCCTCCCCCCCCACAACCGCCATAGTTGTTTGGTAGTTGGGAATTCGCCCTCGCAAGGAGAAGCCCAGGAAACCAGACCCTGCTCCCATGCAGGGGGCGTCTAAGTCAGATGATGAAAGCCAAGATGAAGAATCAGTAGATGAAGACCTTTCGGACAGTGATCCTGAGCCGCTGAGCCTCCTTGCTGCTGTAAGGCGGGCTGAATCACTAAAGTAACGTGAGCTGCATATCAAGGCATCTCAAGAAATGAACCGCGAGCAGGCTTGTCGCATCATGGAACTGAGAGAACCAAGTACGTCTCACAAACGCGGCCCCAAAATCCCCTAGCACGAAGGGGGCATTGGCGGTCAGGCACTTGTACCACAACTTGTATCAGCCCCCATTGCTGTGGCAAGCCCAACGTGTGTCTGCTCCTGTCAATCGCTCTGCACTTCATACTCAGCTCAACCAACCTTGTAGCAGCCCCACTCCAAACTTCCTATGCTCTATCTTCTGTAATGTGGCCACGCACCCAAGCTGCGTTCTGTCGCATGGTGGCACGGGCACACGTTCGGAGGCAGCAGATCGATTGCTCTGAAATTACGCAACGACAAAAAGATTGGGCTGTGAGGGTCATCACCGCTATAGATTCATTCCCGGATGTGGATGATGGTCTAAAGGCGAGTCATGAGTAAAACGCGCATGCGCTTTGGTCGATTACCTCATCCAAAATGGTTTGTTCTCATGCCTTCAGTAACACGCTCCGAATGATATTCCACTTTCCCTCAGCCCCTGTGACACCCGCCCCTTCCCCCATTCCTACATACACAAACCCACCCTCTGTTCTCGAATTCAATGTCTACTCATGCTTGTGTGCAGGAAACCCATGGCGAGGTCATTGACATAGTCTATTTCAGAACATGTCTCCATGACTTCATAATGTGGCCCAAGCGCAGGCGCATTGATATGCCCTGCACATGGCACTGGGACCTCACCGAGCCAGAGGAGCAACATGTTGTTGCTGTGGTTCTCGCAGCCGACATGCATCGGGCCTCATATGTCTGAAAGATGTTTCAGAAGTTTCGCAACAAGGCATTGACTGGCGAGCGCGATTGGGTGTACAATATCATCGACTTGCTGGAGCGAAGCTTGGCGGGAAAAAGAGCGGCACTACAACTGTTGAACAGTTCCAGACAGACTTCAACCCGAGTAAGTATGGAGCTGGCCCTCTCTTCCCGCCTTTGCTGCCTCTGCCCTCCTTCTATCCCACATTCGCCACTCCTCCCTGCCACCACCACAGCCTTAAACCCTTCCATGTAAATCCCTTAATTCCAGACTCCTACCTCACTCGCACGGAGCTGCCCCCCTCTGCCCAATTTGTTGTCACTCTCCTCACTCAGTTCCACATCCCCTCCTCCCTCCTGCCACATCCTGCTCTCCTCCCCGCCACCACCCCAGGCTCTAATCCTCCGCTGGAAATCCCAAGAGCCCTTCCTTTTTCCCACCTCGCAAGGAGCTGGCCTCATCTGCCCACCGTTTTGACTCTGCCCTCACTCTGTTCCACATCCCCTCCTCCTTCCTCCCACACCCCCCTCCCCTCCCCACCAGCAACCCAGACTCTAATCCTTCCATCTATATACCCCAAGCCCACCCTTCTCGCCTCACAAGGAGCTACTCCACTCTGCCCAATGTGTTGTCACTCCCCTCACTCTGTCCCACATCCCTTCTTCCCTCCTCCCACATGCCCCTCTCCTCCCCGCCACCACCCCAGGCTCTAACGGTTCCACAAAAATCTCCTAAGCCCCTCTTTCTTGCCTCGCAAGGGACTGCACCCTCTGCACACCGTATTGTCTTTAACCCTTCTTCTTTCTGTCATCCTTGAAACCCTCCTCTCACTTCCCCCTCTCCGCCCCACCACCAACCCAGGCTCTAACCCTTTGATCCAATCCCTAGAGCCCCTCCTTTTACCTCACTCACAAGGAGTTACCCCTCTCTGCCCACCGTGTTGTCTCAACCATCACTCTGTCGCACATCCCCCTCGCCTGCCCTTCAACCCCCTAGGTCTAACCCCTCCAGCCGAATCTCCTAAGTCCCTTTTGTTTTCTCACCTCGCAATGAGCTACCCCCCTTGGTTTGGCCTCTTTGTCTCTCCCCTCACTCTGTTTCACATCCCCTCCTTCCTCCCACATCCCCCTCTCCGCCACCACCCCAGGCTCTAACTTTCCGAGCCAATGCCAATAGCACATCCTTCCCGCCTCGCAAGAGTCTGTTCCTCTTTGCCCGCACTCTGTCCCACGTCCCCTCCTCCTCCTCCTCCCACATCCCCCTCTCCTCCACGCCACCAACCCAGACGCTAATGGTTCAACCAAATCCCCTACGTGCTTGCTTCTTCCCGCCTTCCGAGGAGCTGCCCCTCTCTCCCAACTGTGTTGTCTCACCAATGATTCTCTCCCACACCCCCCCCGCCTCCCCGTTACCACCCCAGGCTCTAATCCTCCAAGCCAATCCTAAGAGCCCCATCTGCCCACCGTTTTTTCACTGCCCTCACTTTATCCCACATCCCCTCCTCCCCTGTCCCACATCCCCCTTTCCTAAACCCGCCACCACAACAGGCTAAAACCCTTCCATCTACATCCCCCATTCCCGTCCTTTCTCCTCACCCGCAAGGAGCTGCCACCCTCTGCCCACTCTATTGTCTCAACCATCATACTATCCCAAATCCCTTCTTCCTTCCACATCCCCCTCTCCTCCTCGTCACCACCCTAGGCTCATTCCTTCTACCGACACTCTAATCCCCTCCTATCCTAAGCCCTCAAAAGGAGCTGCACCACTCAGCCCACCGTTTTTTCACTGCCCTCACTCTCTCCACATCCCCCTCCTCACTCCTCCCACATCCCCCTCTCCTCCTCACCACCATCCCAGGCTCTAATCCTCTGAGCCAATCACCAGAGCCCCTATTTCAACCTGCCATGCAAGGAGCTGCCCAACTCTGTTGGCCGTGCGCACGTTCTTAAAACTTCCAATGATTGTCATTTTCATTTTCTTCCCTTTGACCCCCGACAGGTGTCCAGTTCAGGGAGTGCGAGAGGGAGCTAGTACTGTTTCTGCACACCATGGACAACAACCACGGGGCACTGAGTTCTACAAGTCGTTGACTGTGATGCTGCAGTCAACGGACTATGCGGGTGCATACCCGAACATGGTGTGTTTGTGGCAGGCAGTGGCAGTGCTCCGGTTGGACACTCTTTAGTGCGAGCGTGGTTTCAGCCGACAGAACCGCATCAAGAGCTGGACACGTAGCAGTTTGAGAGATGCACGACTGCGCGATTGATGACCTGTGCACTTCTTTTATCGACATGTGTGAACTGGATGAACGCAGTGGTGCTCTTTCGTATCGTATAGTTCCGGCTAGAAGACCCGGGGGACTCTCTACAAATGCTTAAAAATATGCTTGGGTGGACATTATGGCGGTTGCAATTTTTAAGACCCGGGTACACTTATTTATCATATATCAATTTGTCATTTAGGGTGTACAGCTCAATTTGGGGCAGGGGGGGTCTTATATTCGTAACGAAAAACCGCCTTCGCGTGCAAATTTCGCGCGAGCGGCGCGTCAGATTTCTGTCAGAATTCGAGTCTGACACAATCAAAGTGTCAGAATTCGAGTTTGACACAAAATGAATGTCAGAATTCGAAATTTGCCAGTAAAAACTGACTCACAATTGCAATAACAACTACTTTATACATAAAAGGGGGTCTTATGATGATTAGAGGCCAAGGGGGGGTCCTCACAATATCTGCCACAATAAGAGTCCCCCTACCCGTTCAAGAGTCCCGGGGGACCTTCTTACCGGCGGGTCTTCTAGCCGGAACTATACGGTAGTCTCAAGAAGCGCCACCCGGCTGGCGATTTTGTTGATGATGTTTTGTAGGCGTGCATGGTAGATTGTGAGTACCGTCATACCCCGGATATAAGCGCCACCCGCGTATAAGCGCCTGGCGCTTTTAATTGGCGTGTGGCGCTTATATCCGGTGCTCGATTATAAGCGCATACCTAAAAGGCTTACAGATTATAACCGCATACCTATACCGACCACATTATAACCGCCACCCTGTTTTTTTTGTTGTTTTTTTAATTTGAAGACATTTTATACATTTTATCCACTAGCATATCATGTTAGTTAATCTACAACTAGTTTATCTACTTCTAGTTAATCTAATTCTACCTACGAGCTTCACACAGGCTTCACCATTTCTAGAATTCTACCCTACTCTAATCATCAGCTACAGTGGGGTCATCTGGGTCGGCCTCAGAGTCCGACCCAGGTTCCTCTACGTTGTTGCAGAAGAAACCGTCAGCTGCAATTTCATCATCCATGTCAACCTCCTCGCCCTCGAGCTCGTCTCGCCTGTGTTGCAGGCAGAGCTTGTCCTGGGACCCATCCAGGGCGTTGCTGATGCCGCAGGTGAGGAACGCTCGTTGAATGAGCTCCTTGGGCACGGACTTCCAGGCCGTCGAGATCCACTTGAGCGTCAGCTCGACAGGAGGCTTCTTGATGTTGCCTGCCACGCAAATCCACAAACCGGGTCAGCACGGGTTAAAGAAATAAAAACGTTATCAGTGCTGCACCTCTCACCTTTCTTCGTCAAGGTGTCGACCCCCTCACGCTCAAACCACTCCTGGTAGAGCTGGCGAACGGCGGCCTTGAAAAAGCGGTTAACCGCGACATCGAGGGGTTGAATCTCCGAGGTGCAGCCAGCAGGGATAACCGCAGGGACCAGGTTGAGCTCGCCAAACTTCTTCACCTCCGGGGTCAGGTGCCCGCGGTACGAATCGAGGACGAGCAGAGCCTTGCAGGGACGGACTCCGAACTTGGGGTTGATGTACGGCTTCACCGCCCCGTCCAGCCACTCGATGACCCCGTCCGCGTCCATCCAACCGTTGGGATGGACCCCCACGTGGATATCTGCACAACATAAAAACCACGATGTTAGTTACCGTACGTTTAACACCTGACATGAATATGCCACCGCGTAATCGACGTGTGCTTCATACCTGAAGGAAAATCTCCTTTGGGGACGGTCTTCCTTTTGAAGAAGACCCACGGCTTCAACTTCTCCCCGCTGGCGGTGCAGGCGAGCATCACGGTAACCCGCTCTTTCTGGTAGCCGCCGCTGCGGACGGGCACGGAGCGCGAGCCAACCTCTTCAACGGTGCGTTCGGATGGCATCTCAAGCCAGAGGGGCGTCTGGTCCGCGTTTATGATCCACGGCAGGTCGATCTTGTACTAGCGGCGGGAGTTACGCACATACGTCCAGAAGTTCTTGACATCAGTCTCGCAGTCTGGGACACGGGATGGGAGGAACAGAAAGCACAAACACAGAGTGAGAGCCGTGAATAGATGGGAACAGACAAACAACAATACCACCAAATAACAACTCACTAGACGAGAGCTTCTGGCCGACCCGGGTCTTCGCTCTGGTCGTCAGGTTCCAGCGGCGGCGAAAGCGCTGAGTCCACCGCTGAGAGCCGGCCCACTTTTCACCTGCGTGTAACTCTTTCATCACCTCGTGCGACCACTTCTGCAGTCGTGCGATCGAGACGGCGAGGCACTTCTTGCGGTGGGCGAGAAACCTCCGGTACACCTCCGCTTCCATGTCGCGATACCACGAGCTCCTTCCGCGGCCGTGCAGG